TGTGTGTGTGTGTGTGTGTGTGTGTGTGTGTGTGTGTGTGTGTGTGTGTGTGTGTGTGTGTGGTTAATGCACTCTCCCGAGTTTTCATCGCTGGGCGATTGTAGTTTACGCAATTTGGTTTTTCATAATATTCAACGACAGGACAATAACGCGTGCTTTAATTAAATTCCATTCACTCGCATATGCCCGTAAGAGAAAATACGCACACATACACACGCATGCACATACGCATACGCATACACATATACACACGCATACACACACGCGCACACATACACAAACGAGTACATAATTGTTTGTGTAGATCCCAGCGGCACATACTCTAATGCACGTAGGAAGACACGCAATATCATGTTATATAGCTGTCCTGTCCTTAACGCTAATATATGGCCGCAATCACAAATATGCTTGAACGTAAAGAAAATACGTTCACTTATTACAACGTTACCCGTTTGTTTACATATTTTCAAAAACAAATTTCTCTCTCTCTCTCTCTATATATATATATATATATATTATTAAATAATATATATATATATATATATATATATATTATTAAATAATATATATATATATATATATATATATATTGTTATTATTATTAAATAAAATATATATATATATATATATATAGGCAGATTGGGACAACGGCGTTAAATTGTTTTGGTGCAGAAATAATGTACATTAATGTGTACATGACAACACGTTCAATAATTTTGGAGAGGAAAGATAATTTGATACTGGTCGGGAGTTATCTAAGCTTGATCTATTCTCGTTTGACTTTTTCAAAACTGGAGTGACAGTTGTAAACAATCCTCAACATTTCACCTTGTGCTAAACAGAAGTTTCTTATGCTTATGCTTGTCAGATATACTATGTTGTATGTTTAATGAATACATATTCATTAAAATCTTGGCGGGAATGGGATCTAGCAAAGCAAAGCAAACGTGTTTTGTGTAAAATCGTATGTTTTATTATCGACCGTGAACTCCTATACCGCTGAACTGAATCGAATGAAATTTTCATAATTGATATAGCATGTTATAAAGAGGATGGTTCATGTGAAATTTGACGAAATTCAACATACAGCTTATCACCTCACAGGCCGAAAACTAAATTATGTGTAGCCTCTTTTATCTTACTGCTTTGAAAACACACTCTGTTGTTGCTTTGAATCATGCAAATTATTAAGATGACGTCATTTCGTCGTTTCCACACGACAACATTTTTCAAAGGATCTTCTTCTTTCTCGTGCCTCATCCTATCAGGACATTGGCCACCATCGACCTCCACAAAATCCAATCTTTAACACTTTGTAGTAGTTGAAATGTGAAAGATATCAAAGACTATTGATAATAAAACACTTATCAAGGTTACATTTTTCAAGAGTTACGAAATAAAAGTTGGAAATAATGTACATGACAGAGAAGAACTTAGTGAGGCAGAGAAAGAAATATTTGAAGGGAGGCGACTTCACCGTCGTACATCATCCTTAGGGTGTCGTGTTAGGAGTTGTAATGAAAGGACGATGAAAAAGAATGAACGGGAAAAAGAAAACCGCGGTAAGAATGAAAGATGGAAATGGATGAATAAAAGTATAAAAATATAATAATAATAATAATAATAATAATAATAATAATAATAAGAAGAAGAAGAAGAAGAAGAAGAAGAAGAAAAGTACAAATACAAAAATAAAATCGTATAAAAGGCGTTGCAAAAGGTAGAAAAATTGGAAAAAACTTGGAAAGGGATTAATAAAAAAAGAAAGCGAGAGAAAAAGAGGTGAAGCAGAGAGAGAGAGAGAGAATGAGAGAGAGAATGAATGAATGAAAGAGAGAGAGAAAGATGAAGTGAAAGTGAAGAAGAGACAAAGAAATAAAAATACAATTAAAATTATTATAACGGCCCTAAACAATCATACAATTTGCGAAAAAGAAAACTCCAGAAAAGCAATAAAATAAGATAAATAAAAATGAAAGAAGATAAAGGAAAAGCGAATACAAATGAAAAATAAACATCCCCTCGATAAACAACGGTTGCTGCGTTCATCCAATTTTTTAATGACATTTTTTTTATTTATTTTTATTTATTTTTTCATCTCGAATAAAACCTAACCAACCAATGATTTCATTTGGAAGAATGAACGAAAGAAGAAATTAAAAGAAAGAAAAGAAAAAAGGAGGAGAAGAGAGCATGAGAAAGAATGAAAGAGTGAGAAAGAGTAAAATGTGAGAGAAGGGGGTGGAAGAGAACGTAGCAAACATTGCGATAAATACATCGACCAATCGGAAAGGTCAATTATATCACGTGACCTCTTGAACTCATTTGATAGGCGTGTATGGTTTTTTGATTCGGATGAATAGCCCCGCCCCATTTCCGGTGACGTATCGGCCGGGTATTAGGGTATTTCACATTTCGCACTGTTTTTTAATGCGTTTACTTACACGGGCGTTCACATCAATAAACGGAGGAAATAAAAAAATTGAAATAAGCTGCTAGACATACATTTATTATTTCTTTCTAGAAAGTTTTGTGCTTCGCTTCTTTTTGTTTCGTTTTTTCGTTTTGTTTATTCGTTTTTTTTGCGAGCTCTTGAACAATGGCAGTCTCCGAGTTTTTCTTTTCAAGTTGGAGAGATAGAGCTAATGGAAATCAGTGCATCTATTATAAAGTATATATTAATTCGATTTATTGATTAGTAGTAAGTTTAAAGTAGTATTGGTTATTATATAATCTTACGATTATTATTTATCACACGTTCAAGCATTCACATTGATGAAAAATTGACGCGTTAATTCATTTGTTAATTAATTCAATAAATAATGATATATAACTTCATTGAAAATCTATATAAATTTACTTAATATAAACTAATACAATCACTGCAAATCAGTACTTCAACTAAAAAATGATGAATCAACTCTATGAGTAAAACTAACACGCTTGTAGTAGTTACGACGCGTGTAGTTCTAGTTAATCAATTTTTTTTACTATGTAAATCAAACTCCGTCAAAGACAGAGGAAGCAGCAACAACAACGACATGCAAGTTATGTTGGGTTCTTTTTTTGTAGTTTCTACTTTAATGTGTGTAAACAGCTCATCCAATCTAATCAACAAACAACAAAACGACGCTAATCTCCATCAATCAAACCTAATTAATTCTTTCAAAGAGAGAGAGAGAGAGAGAGAGAGAGAGAGAGAGAGAGAGAGAGAGAGATTAATTTCATGCATCACTCGCCTGCTTCCGGAAATAAAACAATTTTTTTTCTTAGTGACCTTGGCATTACATTACATTACATCGTATTGAGGCAATGAACGCGAGCTGACCGATACAATACATACATACATACATCGTATGTACTATATATGTATTTACTATAAAGCTGTAAATAAACACACTCCAGTCAAACATCCGTGAAAAGCTCTACATAAATCAACGGCAGTAAAGCTTATAATGAATAAAATTTACATATGTATTCATATATCACCCCACTGCATCTTCGAAAACCATCCACAGTTTTTCTGGCTATTTAGGTAATAGTGTGTGGTTTAATTTAAAGTATTTATCATTAGCTTAATGTTTTATTTAAGCTGACACTTTTGAGATAATATGTGGTTAAATTAGTCAATGGATCGATCGATCAATCGATCGATCAATCAGTCAATCAATTAATCGAGCATTAAATTTTCTTTTCAATTTAAAACGCATAAAATAATCAAGTACAAAGGAAAAATAAGCAATCTAATAAGAAAAAATTAAAAAAACTTAGAGGTTATTCTTTAGCGTCAGCGTACGATTGGCAGCATTTATCACGAAACCATGAAACCATTCAATTCTACAAAATCCGAGGTTCTCATTGGAGCATTTTATAATGACGTCACACATATACCCACATCGCTTAAATTGCTGCCGAAAAGACAAAGATCAATTTGGTGATAAGTGTAAGCTTAACGGCAAACAGAACTAAAAATACAAAAATGGTAGTAGAGGTGGTGGCAGTAGTCAAAGAAGTAGTGATTGCAATTCGTAGCAGTAATAGCAGTAGCAGTTGCAGTAGTCATAACAATAATGCTGTATCTTTAAAAAACCTGAAAAAATATAGATTCTTTTAGATATGGTGTGGGCAAACTACGGCCCACGATGCTATTTTATTCGGTCCGCGATAGGCCTTGTTCACCAAAAAAAGGTCGTCAGCCAGACATTATGACCAAAAAATAGGAGCCACAAATCTTAAAATAATTCTCCCCCGAGTCAAAAAATTTGCTATTTAAGTACATATGCAGCCCTTCAAAGATAAAATAGTTCTCAATGCGGCCCTCACAGCAAAACGTTGACCCATTCATGTTTTAGATTATTATGATTAGTAGCAGTTGTAGTAGTGTTGTAAATTGGTGTTTGTACATGTGTAAGTATTTGTATGTTTTCTTCATATATTTAGACATTTTTTGTACATTGAGTGTGAGTTTTTTATTTTTTCAAAATATTCCCAGCGAGGAACTTTTTTCAAACTAAAATGTCTTTCATGAGGTGCTCTTTATTGCAATGTTCTTTTAATCACCGTATGGTTGATTTTCTTGTTAAACATTCATTTGTTTCTATTAGGCTTCTTTAATTTTAATGACATTTTGACAAATTTTCAGGAGATAAACTCATTTAACTGTCAACTGCGTTTAATTAATACAAGAAATTTTGCTGTGGTACAAGGCTGAGAGTAGATCGACCAGTCAAAAAAGATGATAAAAATTCAAAAAAATTATTATACTATACTATGGTAAAAACAAAATGTCTGCCTCTCGAGTCTTTCTTTTCTCAAGGATATTTTCATTGATAACGCCATAAGTTAACACGCTCTTTAAAATTAATTTTATTAAATATATTTGAAATAATTCGAAATGTAAGTTTGTTTTTTATTTAGTTTATTTGATTAAACACTTCTCAAAATACTTCGTAAATTTGAATTTTTAAATAAATTTTTTTTTCTATAATTTTTTTAGGAAAAAAGGCCGAAAATGGGACGACCAGACGCCTCGCGTGAGACCCAAATGTCTGGAAGCTGCTAGGGAGGTTGCCAAAAAAATTAATAGCAGATTAATTGCGGAAGGCTTCCTAAAACTGCCGGAAGAAAATTCAGCAAGATCGGCTGCTGAAGTTCACAACATGGTAGTTTACATGTGTTTACTTTGCATTCTGGGTTTTTATCGAAAATCGCTTATAGGTAAAAATTAAAAGTTACGAATAAAATTAAATTAGTAAAAAATTTATTTATTTAGTAAAAGATAATAAAATGAACAAAACATTTTTTATAAAACAAATTTTTAAATTTTTAAAATTTAGTATTCAATTAATAATTAATTAATTATTAATTAATAGTAAAAATAAAAATTTTTCATATATTTGATTCCTACTTCATTCATTTACTTTATATTAAATTATAGTTTTATTAATTTTCATAATTTATAACTAAAGAGTATAGTAAATATAACAAATTTTAGGCTGAGTATTTTAATAGAATTTAAATAAAATTATTAGACAAATAACAAAAAAAGCTAGAAAATATAAATTTTTATGGCAGAAACTTTATTCTTTAATAAAATATAAACATTAAAAAGATACAAAATTTAAAATTTCAACTTTAAGGTACAAACTTTATATTAGAAACTGTTAGTAAAAGTAAAGTTGTAAAAGTAGAGTTGATGTATAAAAAAAAACTTAAAATGTAGCTTACTTTAATTTTTTCTGTATTCATATTAAAATAGGTATTAATAAGCATCTACTGCCTTTCAAGATTATGTTTAAAGTTTTTATCTTGTCTTAATATGCATGTATATAAAATTAATAAATTAATATATAAGATGGCATATTGAATTATGCATATACATAAAAAGACATGTGTAAATTATAAGCCTTGTTCCTAAATCTATTATAGAATATATTATCAAAATTTGAGAGTCATATCCATATGGCATGCACCATATAGAATTTTTTAATGTTGATTCAGGTAAGTGCTTAAAACATGCCATTTTTTAGATAGATAGTTGAGTCGCAAAGTGAAATTTTGCCAATAAATGTATTAATATTCAAATACAGAATGACCCAGCAGCACAAGCACTGCCAACATTAGGAGGAAGTAGAGGATTGTTAGTTGGAACAACGTCACACGACCAGCAGTGCACTGTCGAGATCGACATAAACGAGATTCCTCTGGCATGTCGAAACCTCCTAACAAGAAGTGTCACTCAAGAAGATGTCAGTACTTCTTTAAATTCTTTTTGTCAATCTTTACATCACTTTTTACATATATAATATTGCTGTTTTTATTGTTCATTCTCATTATATGCTAATAAATGAGATTTATCTTGTATCGTCCTTTTATAACTTTGGCCAACTTAATTAGTTAATGTTATCTAATACTAAAATACTTCACACTGAACTTCATAACTTATTCCTAATCTTTAATTGAATCAAAGATATCAAAAATGAGTGGGGCGAAGGTTTCCACTAAAGGTCGGTTCATGACCTCGACCGAAAAAATGATGTCCAAGTTAACTGGGTTGGGTTTTCTGTGATCTGCTATCGACTGTAATGTTTTTATATTGCTGGGTTTTTTTTTGTCAATTTCACTTATTTTTTTTGTTGTTGAAATGTTTTAAAATATTCAATTTTTATTATTGTTCAGTGAAAAAGCACTGCACTTATGTGTTCAAGGAGCAGTGGCCTCTAGTGTAGAATGTAAGCAAATTTATTAATTCATAATTTTACATTAAAATAATAAAAATATTAAATATTTATTTTAAAAATTTGTTTTATTATTATAACTTAACTTTTTACATAATTTCTTTTTTTCCCTAATTTTAACCAAAAAATACAAAAAAATAAAATGCAAATAATGATTAGTGGCTGTACAACGAATCACAAGCATTATAAGCTCCACATGTAACATCCCACCTACCAGCCTGTCAATCATGTCTCAGAACATGCCCTTAAGTACTACCAGCAAACCATTACTTATGCCCGGACCGCCATCATCACTTAATTTTACACCACAAACTGTGAGAGCTTTGTTTCTTCATTTCATTAGTATTTTTATTTTATTGACCTTTTTGTTGCGTGTGCAATTAATTGTGGAACTGTTTAGTTTTGAAGGAATTAATTATAGAATTATAAATATATAAAAGGGAGTTATCATTTGTCTTTGTTATATTCACAAAATTATTACATTACAAGAATTATTATAATATAATTTCATCATTTTCATAACGCCCCCGTCTCACACCACCCTCAAATAATCAGCCACCCATCAATCACTTCAACTCACCACACCACATGTGTGTCTGTTCACTGTTCATTCAACAAAATGATGACACTAACCTAATCACTAATTGACTAATAAATCAGCTTGCTTTTGTTCAAGATAAACTCTTCATTGGCCTGGAACAAGCCCCTCCCACCTTCGACATTAAGACAAAATTGCTCGGCCCCAATGTTGGTTTTTAATAGTTTTCTGTGTTAATTTTTCATCCAATTCTCAATAAATTATGGTAATTCCTTTTAATTTCAACTAATATGCGATTGAACTAAATAACAAGCATGACACCACACATCAACCATCATCATAAATAAAAACCATTTAATAAGATTGTAACAACTCCAAAAGACCATATAATAAGATTGTAGCAACTCCAAAAGTGCATTTAATAAGGCTTTAGCAGCCATAGAAAATAAAAAGTATGGCAGTTTTACTTATGGTCACATTGAAATGGTTAATAACAACCGTCCCAACAACAGGGTACCTACCTACATCATATCCAATCAGAAACAGGGGCAAAGGTCCTTCTTAGAGGCCGCGGGTCGGGTTTCAACGAACCAACTTCTGGTCGGGAAGCATTTGAACCCATGCACATTTACATTCAGTTAGATTGAGATTTTTCTTATTTGTTATTATAACAACAATTATTGTTGGTATCTTTTTGTTATTGTTTTAGTTGTGTAGTGCTTAGATTTTTGTTGTTTTGTTATCACTATGGTTATTTATAAGTAGTTCATTAATTTGTACCTAACATTCATCTGTTTCGTACTTATATTATGAACAAGCACAATGAATCATTGTATGTGTTACATTTCTGTTCAATTGGTATCTGTTTATCATAGACTTAATGTTGCAATTGTTACTTTTATTTGTCTTTTTTCTTTTTGTTATTTATAATTATTAGATGTATGCAGTGAGAGATGAGACAAATTTGACGATGGTCGAAATTTGGCAAATATTAAAAAATTTGCAAATGTGATTGGGGACAAAAAATTATAAACTTGTCATTTTTTTGCATATCACGCCAATTTTTGGTTGATTTTTTACATAAAACAGTGATTTTCATGTATAAAAACCGAGTTTTACTTCTATTTAATACAAATACAACGGGGTGTATTTAAATTAAAATTCTCGCACGTCTGCATAGGCATAGCAACCATGTCGGGTTGAATCAAGCAAGAACGCTGGCACAGAATCTTCTACAGACTGTTAGTATCTGCTGCTAGATGGTCGATAAACATCTCTTCACCACCATCATCATTTTGTCGGCATTATTAATGTTCTATATTATCACTACTGTTATCTTTAAAGACACCTTCATTATCATCGTTATCTTCAATGACAACGTTACCTTGCTTTTTTTTCTCACCACCATTTTAATCTTCATCATTCATCTTCGCCACCATCGTAATCTTCATCATCACTCTCATGAACATCTTTATCGTCATCTTCATCATCACTCTCATGAACGTCTTCATAAACATCTTCATCATTGTCAGGTACAACACGAGTATGCCACATTTCAGCAGCAGCTCGCGTTCATGCCACCATCTGTTCTGCCTGCTACAGCCTCCATGTTGGCTGGTCTGCAGCAGCAACAGCAGAATTTTACCGGTCGGTATTACTCCAAATTATTCTTGCTGTTTTCAGTTCTTTGTTGCCTATATTTTTGTCAAATCTTTT